GTAATTGCCCCATAGATCCTATATCGATCTATATGAAGAAGAAATCATGTAACGAAGGGGATTCTTATTTGTACAAATGCTACTTCGAACTTGGAACGAGCATGAAGAAATTAACGATACTTCTTTATCTTTTGAGTTGTTCTGCCGGACCGGTTGCTCAAGACCTTTGGTCTCTACCCAGACCCGATGAAAAAAATGGGATCACTTATTATGGGCTTGTTGAGAATGATTCTGATATAGTTCATGGCCTATTAGAACTAGAAGGCGCTCTGGTGGGATCCTCACGGACAGAAAAAGATTGCAGTCAGTTTGATAATGATCGAGTGACATTGCTTCTTCGGCCCGAACCAAGGAGTCCCTTAGATATGATGAAAAATGGATCTTGTTCTATCCTTGATCAGAGATTTCTCTATGAAAAATACGAATCGGAGTTTGAAGAAGGGGAAGAAGAAGGAGCCCTCGACCCGCAACAGATAGAGGAGGATTTATTCAATCACATAGTTTGGGCTCCTAGAATATGGCGCCCTTGGGGCTTTCTATTTGATTGTATCGAAAGGCCCAATGAATTAGGATTTCCCTATTGGGCTGGGTCATTTCGGGACAAGCGGATCATTTATGATGAAGAGGATGAGCTTCAAGAGAATGATTCGGAGTTCTTGCAGAGTGGAACCATGCAGTACCAGATATGAGATAGATCTTCCAAAGAACAGGGCTTTTTTCGAATAAGCCAATTCATTTGGGATCCTGCAGATCCACTCTTTTTCCTATTCAAAGATCAGCCCTTTGTCTCTGTGTTTTCACATCGAGAATTCTTTGCAGATGAAGAGATGTCAAAGGGGCTTCTTACTTCCCAAACAGACCCTCCTACATCTATATATAAACGCTGGTTTATCAAGAATACGCAAGAAAAGCACTTCGAGTTCTTGATTCATCGCCAGAGATGGCTTAGAACCAATAGTTCATTATCTAATCGATGTTTCCGCTCGAAGACTCTATCCGAGAGTTATCAATATTTATCAAATCTGTTTCGAACTAGGGGAAGCTTGAGGAATCAGTGGCCTATGGTGAACGCGACGGTAGTAGTGCCGCCCGGAGGAGGATACAAAGACATGATGGCGGCAAGGTGAAGCGGCGACAACAACTATGGGACCGGATCTGTTTTATTTTTCTTCGTATCTGTCGTAGCTTCTTTTGGCAGAGAGGGTCGAAGGTGGTCATCATCGATGGGAGAAGCAAAAATGGGAGACACCATGGATGAAGGTTTGTGATGGGATTTGGGGTTTTCCTGGGTTGAAGTAATGGGCATGCTTATCTGATTTCCAGATCGAGAAAGAATCCCAATTAAAAAATCCCTCCATCCAAATTCCACGAAAATCTGGGTAAATCTCCAAAGATTCAATCATTCCCAATTTTTTATTTATTTTCTTTTATTTTTTATATTACAAAATGACGTGGCATCTACGTGGATGTCGAGTTTTTTGCCACGTCATCGAAAGTCAAAATTACTTTGACCACCGTTTAGTCAACTGTTATCCTTAACGGTCAACGAAAATATCTGGATACAAATGACACAAAGTATCATACGATGGGATACGAATGGAATATTGGAAACAATAGGACACAAGTGACATTTTTCGGATAGTTCGGATGTTGTAGTGGTATTAGCCCTAAATTATATGAATCATGTGGTTTGGGTTATAGAATTAGGGAGTTTAGTTCACCCATTAGAGGCCGGGACATAGTATCATGCCACAATCTAAGATCAATTCATGGTCTAAATAACAAAATTTGATGAACATTCGTTAAGATTAGCGTACATTAAGTGTACGTTAGCCTGAATGGCTGGTGTACGTCATGCGTATAGTATATATATATATATATGGCAAATGCTAGCATATGTCCGGGCGTACGCTAGCCTACCGTACGCCCATTGAGTTTTGCTATTTAGACAAAAAATTAATCGGAGTTTGGGACATGATACTACACCATAACCCCTAATGGGTGAATCCCAGTACCCAATTCACTAATCCAAAGCTTGGGATTCTTATAATCTTAAAAATGAAAATCAACGATTCTGATTCGTCGAAATTTTCATTGATTTTCATTTTAAGATTAAACAAATCTCATGGTTTGGGTTAGAAAATTAGGGATTGGAGTTCACCCATTAGAGGTTAGGGTATAGTATCATGCCCCAAACTCCGGTTAACTCATGATCTATATAGCAAAACTCATGGCGTGCGCTAGCCTGAAGCCCTGAACCATATATATATATATATATAAAAGGTGGTTGTTTTGGTGCACTCACTTTTTTAGTGCACTTAGTGCACTCAACTCTAAAAGTGGTAATAATACATCGAATTTTGAATTTTATTGGGTAGCTGTAGTCTAATATGATGATATAACATAGAATCACAACTAATCAATCCATTATCATAACCCCTTGACCTTCAATTTTGAATCCCAACCTAAAACAGCAAATTGTAAACCTAAACCCTAACCC